ATAACTGTACTTGATTTAACATCCAATTTATTAATCTTACAAATTTAGTAAATAATTAGTATTTCTTTACAATTAAACAATCAACTCTTCTCAAAATATTTACATAAGTCTTACATACCATTAAATTGGAATATGTATTAAATTAAATTTTCCATGGACTTTAAACATGGGTTTAAATTTTATATAATTGAATTCTTCCCAGTGTTATATTAAAATACCAAATCTAACATGTCAATTTATCTTAAATGCTTTAGCCACTTTTAAAGAAGAAAATTATACATATTACAATGATTCCAAAGCAAATCAATATATTTATCCTAAAACTTGTCACAAATGTGCTCAGACTAGAGATTTACATTTCTTTTTGTCTTTTTCCTTCTTACAATTTGCTGATATAGAAATTTTCATATTTTCCCTGGAATTTCAGAAATATCTGAGTCTATTTTTGTACTTTCCTAGGATTTTGTTACCATGCTAGACTTAAAAGACAAGGAAGATTGTTTCTTAAATTTGCACATGTTGGGTTGTTGACTAGTAATTCTTATCTAGTCATTGGAATTTGCTGTACATTCAGAGATGATTCAAACTCAACATACTGGCTGAGGTTGAACTTTCCTTTTACAATTAAACTTTTTACTTGTTACATGCCCTGATGCCTTTATTTATTTACTTATTTATTTTTTTAAGTTCAAGCCTAACTTTTAATTTTCTGCAATATTGGTGTCTCCTCCAAAATGATTTGCTTTTAAGTCCCAATTGCTTGTGTTACATAACAGTTTCCCTGTTATTATGTTATATATATGCTGATATATTAGCGTTATTAAAAACTCATGGACTTTTCATGATTATATCTTTATTATGTATAGCTATCTGGGTTTTCATCTACCAGGAGATGAGAGACTATTTCTGCTTAGTTACCACTTCTAGATAGTCTGGTAATTTATTAACTGTGTCCTCTTAGATACTGGGTACGATCATTAGTACTATTAAAGGCTGGACTCCTCTTCTACTTGGTTGTTATGTGTGACCATAAGTGCTGGTCAGTCTTTTCTATTCCTGCTGCAGAACTACTTTTGATGCTCCTACTTTGCATACAAGTCTACCCTTACACAGATGGAAAGAAATATGTCTTCATATTATAAATGTATGTATAATTAGAAAAACAAAATACCCATATATTAACTATTTATTTAAAACAATAGAGGGCCGGCCTGGTGGTGTAGCTGTTAAGTTCGCATGCTCCACTTCGGCAGCCTGGGGTCCACAGGTTCGAGTCCCAGCTGTGGACCTGCGCACCTCTTCTCAAGCCACGCTGTGGCGGCGTCCCATATAAAGTAGAGGAAGATGGTCACAGATGTTAGCTCAGGGCCAATCTTCCTCAGCAAAAAAGAAGAGGATTGGCAATGGATGTTAGCTCAGGGCCAATCTCCCTCACCAAAAAAAAACCCCAATAGAAATTAAAGATATCTGCCCTGTTTGTGCTTTTTTGTATGTCTATCATTACTGCCTCTTCATATCCTTCATATTAACTTTTCTGTTTGAGTATTATGAACTCTTAGCCTTCAACAACTCAAATTGTTTCATTTAGCCATAATGATTATTGTTTTTTTGATGTTCATAATGTTAGAGATTACCCAGGGAGAAGCCATTTAGATTGCTTTCCTTAGCCTTTCAAAACTGCCTCTGACTCTTTTTTTTTAGATGAACCTTGTTTTATGGCAACAAAGGTATGTTCCAGAAATAGTCTGTGTTTTTTTCTTTCTTTTCTTTTCCTTTTCCTAGTAACTAAGGAGCCCTGGTTCTTTTTTGTTGGCGATATTTGGCAATGAGTATCTGGATTGCCCATAAGTGCTGGCTGAGGGCAAAAGTACTGTTGCTACTATTGGTCTTTTTTAAGGACAGATCTGGAAAAGATATTCCTTTGAGGTTTATGAGTTCACATAGCTGTTTTCTGTAACATATTATGTTGCTGCATCTACTCTCCTTTTATTGTGAAGTTTCACCTGCTTCCAAGACTCTCCACTACATTATCAAGAAACTTGATTTGTAAGCAAGATATCAAAGCAAAGCAATTTAGAATGGGTAGATTTAAGAACAATTCATCCAGCCCGTTGGTAAATGGACCTGCTAGTCCAAATGTCAAGAGTCACCTGCAAAAAGAGAATGAAATCAGAACAATGTAGTGAGTTTTCCAAATTTCATTTGTTCACTTTCTTGGTTTATTTGCTTAAATTAAATGTTAGAATAGCAGTGGTAGGGATTTTTAAGTATTTCCCTGTTAAAAAATAAAATCTTTTTTAAAATTTTATTTTTTCTAACTGTGGATGGATATGTTAACTTTGAATTTTTGTAAAATTCGAAAGGTTTGAACAATCCAACCTTGAAAAGATCATGTATGCCTCTGGACCTCAGGAACTTCTAGAACCAGGAACCAGAAGACCTACTACTACTAACAGGAAACAGAAGACCTACTACTTTTCATTTTTCAAGTAGACTTAGACTGGTTTTAACCATACAATGAAATCCATGGCCACTGTGATGACAGCATTTTGCATCTTGCAATATCTATCGCCAGACAGAAACTTTTCTCATTTCTGTGAAAGGGCTCTGATCAGCAAGTTTGGTTAAGATGCCCATCTTGGACCAACCACCAAGGACAAGGAGTTTGACTTATGTAAGAACCTGGTAGTTTTTTTAATAGCTAGATGGATTGAATGAGGTGGTTCCAAAGAAAAGTGAGGAATGCTGTGCAAACCTTGTCATAGAAGCTATAACGAGCAAGAAGTCGTTACTTGACATAACACAAAAGGGTGACAATCATATGCCAGGCACTCATTTATTTCCTTTCTTCCTTTGTTCTGACTTCCATTGCTTTCTAAATGTTGTTAATTGTATTAGTTTGCCTGGGCTGCCTTAACAAACTGTCATAGATTCGGTGGCTTAAACAACAGAAATTTATTTTTTTATAGTTCTGTAGGCTGGAAGTCCAAGTTCAAGGTGTAGGGAGGTTTGGTTTCTCCTGTAGACTCTCTCCTTGGCTTGCATATGGCTACCTTTTGGCTGTGTCTTCACATGGTCGTCCATTTGTGTGTGTTACCTGTGTCCTAATATCTTCTCATAAGAACACCAGTCATATTGGATTAGGGTCCACCCATATGACCTGATTTAACTGTAATTTCTTCTTTAAGAGTCCTATCGTCAAACACAGTCACATTCTAAGGTATTGGGGGTTTGAACTTCAAAATATGAATTTTGGATGGAAACAAGACCATAATATTGGCCAATGAAATTCAAAATCCAAGTATAAAATTATTTAGGATAATTTTAAGCTGGATAATTTACTACATTTTCACTACAAAACAATTTTTTTTTATACCAATGTATTCTTGACTACCAGATTAAGATTCTCTCATTTGGAGAGTGCTTAATAAACACTCATAATCGTATCTTTACAAAATCTCCCCTTTCTAAACTCTTCGTTTTTCCCATTTAACTTCAATTATGTTTCTTTTGTTGTGTCTATTTTGCATTTTTGAAGATGGCAGCTTATCTTTTGTTGCCTATGCTTTGTAACATCTTTTTGATGCCATATAAATAAGCAGCTTATCCTCACTGGGCTATCCCTGCCACAGTACATCACAGAGCTTACAATAAACAGTTGATTTTATTTATGGTTTAAATTACTAGTTACCTTGTAACTAATACAGATACAACGCAATGCAATACAGTACAATACAGTAATAGTTGCTTGTAACTTTCATGTGTAGAAAGAAGCACTTAGATTTGGGGATATTTATCACTGAAACTATCGTGCTCTATTTATGGATAATACATGTTTATAAAGTTTAATAATGTTTAATTCAATTTTTTACTGTGATAGTAGTTTATTTAAAAGTTGCAGCATTCTTTTAATTCCAAGAACCGGGGGCATTCAGTGACCATTTGACAATATCATTAGGCTTTCCTTATGAGTATTTTCTTCTTTGAAAATAAATTATGTTAACATTCAAATCAATGGAAAAAGTGATCTGAGATGTGGCATCATTCAGTATTTAGGCTGTTGTTCTTGATGTCCTATTTTCTGTATTTTTGTTATTTCAATCTTAGTCTCTAAATGTAAGTTGTTGTTTTGCTTAATATATTCACTACCTATCTATATACACACATATGCAAATCAAGACTTTATTCCTCCCTCAAGAATTCTGACCTCTACACATCAGTGTTTCCCCTCAAAATTTCTCAGTATATCCTTCTAGTTTACTTTGCTATTTGCCCTCTTGAAAAAAAAAAAGAAACATAATCTAGCTCTGATGTTTATGGAATTATGGAAGTCAATAATTAATTTTTAATTTGATATTACTGCCTCTGTTCATTTCTCCTAATCTAAAGCAAATGATTGGGAAATGGTAACTGGATTCCCACTTCCAAGTATGGTCTAAATTAATGTCTCACAGTTGGCACTATATACAAAATTTGTTTGAGCAACAGTTCATTAAATGTGTCAGAAGAATGTTACACAGATCTGAAAGATAAATATTAGATAAAGAATCTAAAGTTTCAGTTCACAGACCTATATATTCTTTATATATATCGAATATATAGGTAAACCTTTGTATGTCTTTGTGCATTTTTAATGAACAAAAGCTTATCTTTTTTCATGTTCATTAAAGAAATTTTGACTAAAATAAACTTTCCTGTATTCTTCTAATATCTTTGATACCTGCTCATATGTACTTCTGTTTAATTACAAGTAACTCATCCTTTAAAAAAGCTTATGTGCAAATAATTGGAAAAGTTAAGATTTTTATAATAATTCTTGGAATTTTTTATTGGACTGATAATTTGAAAGCCTATAAGATAGTCAAATAATTTCTGAGATTCAGTTAAAACTTTTCATTTCTAATTTTGAGTTCTTTTTTGTCTCATGGCCTCTGCATATGAATATTTCCTCAGTTTCTCAGTGTTTTGGTCTCTAACTATTGATTTTACTTTTTTCTCAGGATGTTTTGAATAATTTGGGATCTTGTGAACTAGATGAAGATGACCTAATGCTTGATCTAGAATTTTTAGAGGAACAGAATCTTCATCCTTCGGGTAAGTTTTGAATAAATGCACAATATCATACAACTCTGATCCTAGTCATTTAACTTTCATTGATAAGCTAAGTATTATTTAGACTGCATTCAGTCTTTTCAATCCCCACTTTGTGTATTCTGTATGCTAGGTACCAGGGACACATGATTCTGGTGATCTTAAAACCTATTATGGAAATATATATTCGATTGGAAGATAATTATAAAATAAGAAAAAACTATAAAAAGTCACTTCAAAGAAGGAAATTCTAATTAAACATTTAATGAAAAAGTTAATGTTTTCTCTTTTTTTGGAAGAAAACAATTACAATCTCATTTTTCCTTTGGAAGGAAATGGAAGTTTTGGACTCAAATCGATTTACTCTTCCAAATATTAGCCCCTTGAATAATAACTGCATAGGTTAATATTGATGCAGTAAGGTTGACCTCAACATTAATAATTACCGATAGCAACCACAAGCACATACTCATTAACACATGCACACACATAGAGTTATAGTATGAGATAAATAAATTCTTGTTGAATGAATTAAGAAGGGAGCCCATTGTATTTGTAATAGTTTAAATTTATATTAAAGCATAAAATGTCATGTCTCCAAATATCAAAATTACTCCCTTTGAAGTAGGTTATAGGAATTAATTGTTCATTCAGATTTAGATATTTGATTATAAAGGCAAGCTTTTACTTAGTTTTTTTATTGTTAATAATACCTTTAACATAGTTATTTTCAAGTTAAGTTAGAAATAGCATTAAACTGGAGCTTAAAAATCTTGGGTCCTACTGCATACATTTGAGAAAATCAACCTCTTGGATTTTAGTGTCCATGTTTTTAACTTTTAGGAATTAGACATAATCTCTAAGGTTATTTCCAACTGTAATATTTTTATGAATGATTTTTGTTCGTGCAGTATTTTTATATTATAGATAATATCATATAAACAATTGTCAAAAGAAGGCAATGACAATATTTATATTTTATTACACTCTATATTAGGTTAATATCAAAAAGAAGCTACTTAAAAAATTTTTTTTAGTTGAATATAAATTTAGGATAACAATTTCTTGAAATATTCTTCCTGCACTTGATTTGCCAGATATTCTTTTAAAAATGTAGATTTTTCTCACTTTTATACAGATACCTTATACAATTTTGTCATTCATGTGTATTTATCTTAAAAGAGTTACACATGGTGGGGCTGGCCCTGTAGCCTAGTGGTTAAGTTCGGCACGCTCCACTTTGGCAGCCCGAGTTCAGTTCCCGGGCACAGACCTACACCACTTATTGGCGGTCACGCAGTGGTGGAGATCCACATACAAAATAGAGGAAGACTGGCACGGATGTTAGCTCAGGGTGAATCTTCCTCAAGCAAAAAAGAGGAGGATTGGCACACATATTAGCTCAGGGCAAATCTTCCTCAGCAAAAAAAAGAAAAAAGAAAAAAAGAGTTACACATGGTGAGAAGAATGTACACCCTTTTGGAGGGAAATCTGTCAATATCTAGCAAAACTATATGTGCATTTACCTGTAGATCCAACTATCCAACTTCTAGAAATTTAATCCTGAGACGCCCGAAATATACAAAGTAATGTATGCAAATAACTATTGATTGCACAATATTTGCAATAAAATATTGGGAACACCTCAAATTTCCTTCAACAGGACACTTGTTGACTATACAGTGATATACTAAGCAGCCATTAAAAGGAATAATGAAGGATCTGTATGTGCTATGGCATGATTGTAAGGATATATTATTGGTGGAGAACTTTGCAATGATGGATTAGACTTGCAAGACCTAAACCCACTGATCAATCTTAATGTCACTAAAAGTGTAACAACTAGACATTTTGTCCCTATAATGCAATGCCTAGAAAAGTACACAGCTCTACCACTCCTGCCCACAAGTACTTACATCTACTTAAGTCCCTTGACTAAGCTGTGATTTCATAGGAAATACTGGGATGAGGGGAGTTGGAATGTTAAATGGCATGATGAGATTGACAGCACCCAAATATAGCAAATGGGGAATTCTACAGGATAAATGATCTGGTTTCTTCAACAAATAAATAGCACAATAAAAAGAGGAGAGCTTTTTAAAGATTAGATTAAAAGAAGAAAATGCAATGTGACATCTTTGTTGGCATACTTATTGAAATATAAAAACACAGTAAAAAGATATTTCCGAGTTAATCAGAGAAATCTGAAAAATAAATTATTACGGAATTATTATTTATTTTGTTGGGTGTTGAATATTTTTGTTTTGTTTTTTAAGGAAAACTTTTTATAGAGATGCATGTGGTTGAAACAATATGGTGTCTGAGATTTGCTTTACCAACCAGTATGGAGGAGGGCGTAGAAGAAGTCGGCAAATTGTTGCAAATTATCAAAGCTGGGCCATAGGTTTTGGGGTGAAAACTTCATGCATTAATTATAATATTCTCTCTATTTTATGTATTTTTAAAGATTTTCACAATAAAGATAAAACCAAGTAATAATTAAAAAGAATTATGGGTAATGTAGCAATCTCAGTTTATGTTTGGTAGGCAACCACAATAAAGAGCAAAGAATGACTTAAAAATATGAAGACTTAGCTCAATTTATTTGCTTGGGAACAAAATAAACATCTTTAAACTTTATTCTCTCTTGTATAAAGTAATGAGTGCTATGTACTTCATTAGTTTATTGTAAAGAAAAAATGATGTAATAAATTCTATGAATCTCCTCTGTCTACTTCAAGGTGTGGATAGCTTGGTTGAAGCTAAAACTAGGATACCTTAAGAATCAACTGAATTAACCAAATTTTTCACAAGATAAATGATGTTACTTTGCATATCTGAAGTAAAGTTCTGATAAATGAGATATTCCTTAGAGTGACTAGTTTATTTAATGTTACTTAATAAAATGTCTTTTGAAAACATATTTTGCTTTGGATGCCATGTTGTGGGGCTTTAAAAAAGCCACAAATATCTGTTTATGCACATTAGCTCAGAAAGAAGAATGTCTGGTTGAAGTGGCTTTACACAATTTATTTTCTTTATTAAGCAACATAAAGGTCTTCTCAGAATATAAGAAGCTCATTATTGATAATTAGTATTGATAAAAAGCTCATTAGTGCTAAAGATTCCAAAATGATGGTTTAAATAAAAGTGATTTTCAAAAGTCTGAAAACTAAAATAATGATATCAATAAATTCTACTACCTACATTACTGAAAATCATTAAAGAGTTAAAAACTTTTTAAGGACAAGACATATTAATTTTTGGCTATAGAGTCTTATTAAAGCAAAGATTTATAGGGATTTATAGTAAAGCTTATTATAATGGCCAAGATGAATTTTGTAAGAGACCAGAAAAGTATTTTTATTTTGAAAATATTAAGTCAGGCCGGCCCCGTGGCTTAGTGGTTAAGTGCCCGTGCTCCGCTGCTGGCGGCCCGGGGTTTGGGTCCCGGGCGCGCACTGTCGCACCGCTTCTCCGGCCACGCTGAGGCGGCATCCCACATACAGCAACTAGAAGGATGTGCAGCTATGACATACAACTATCTACTGGGGCTTTGGGGAAAAAAAAGGAGGAGGATTGGCAATAGATATTAGCTCAGAGCCGGTCTTCCTCAGCAAAAAGAGAAGGATTAACACGGATGTTAGCTCAGGGCTGACCTTCCTCAAAAAAAAAAAGAAAATATTAAGTCAAATATTTGTAGTAATTGTGTTATATGTGGGATTTATAAATTTTATTCATTTTAACATACAATTCATAATGGTTAGATTTGCAAAGACTAGAGAAATCATCATGTATAGAAAGTGTAGACATTCTGTTGTCCTTTTTACTACAGTAATTTGCACATAGTAGATGCTCAATTGGTGTCTATTAATGTGATTTTATTTAAAACATAGCCAAACATCTTTGGACATGTATATAGTGAATACAAATGGATTTAAAAAGAAAATAAGAACAAAAGTTAGTAAATCTTTGCAGAAAATCAAGCACCTTTAATTAAGTGATCTGTTTTATTGGACAGAGTTTGAAAATTTGTATTTAAAAAATTTCCTTGCATTTTTTCAAAATGTAATTGGTCACTGCTCATAGTGAGTGATTTAACATGCAAAGAGACATTCTAAAGGACAATAGAATGTATGGTAAATGTACATATGTTAACACTCACATAATAGTAATGATTGTTGGTTGATATACCACAGTTGTCCCTTGGTATTCACGGGGTGATTGGTTCCAGGACCACTGGATGCTCAAGTCCTGTATATAATGAAATGATGTAGTATATAACTTACACCTATCATCCCTTGTACTTTAAATCATCTCTAGATTACTTATAATACCTAATACATTGTAAATGCTATTTAAATAGTTCTTAGACTGTATTGTTTAGGGAATAATGATAAGAAAAGAAGTCTGTACATGTTTAGTGCAGATGCAGCCATTGCAGGCGATTTGATCCACGGTTGGTTGAATCCGCGGATGCGGATACGGAGGGCCGACTGTACCTGCAGTATAAGCAATATGAACTAAAGTATATCAACTAGCCAAGTAAAATATCAGAATAGCACAAACAAAAGAGAAAACGCCAATTTGAGTTTTGTGGTTCAAGGTCTGTGTCATAGAAACGCTCATATACTTTCACATTTGAATATGTATCTGTATAGTACATCATGTTGTTGAATTTGTGCTTATGACTGTACCTACCTTGGTAAAAATGGCTGTTAATTATTGTGGTCATAATAATTCTGGACATCTTTTAATATGCTTTTTATTTCATTCTTTGCTATCTCTATTTTCATCTACAAGTGGATTGTAAGTTTGAGGTGAGGTTTTTAAAAGTTTGGTTTTGACTAGTGAACAATTTGAATAAAGTTCCATGAATCATTTGAATATATAAATATATCTATGGAGTCCTAAACTGACACACTTCCTTCCTAAAGGGAGAGGTAGTACAAATAATAGTGCAAATAAAATATCTGTTTTATAGTGCAGTCAGTGGATGTTAT